CGGAGTCATGTTTATTGTTGATGGAAAATTTGAGAGAGTGATCGACCGGCTAATTAGAGTAGCCAGTGGCATTTTGCATGAACTGGCGCGAATCATTGTGACTAAAGCAGTGCTGAGTCACAAGACTTACCTCTCGTTATTTATGTCGGTCTTCATCATCGTGCTCACCTACGGTCAGAAGTCGTGAGCTATGACTGAAAAACTTTGGTCTCGGATACAAACGGCGGAAATGAGCTTCCTGAGACGAATCGCTGACCTTGCTCTTCTCGATATTGTCTGGAATACAGAAATCCGCGAAAGCCTTGGTGTACAGCTGCTGCTGCTTCAGATTAAGAAGTTACAGCTACTATGGTTTTGGAACGTCTTGCGCATGTCCTTCAGAAAGGAAGGCGAAACAGCTACTACTCACCCAACAAACCGGCCAAAGGCCGTGGTACGGCAAAGAATGATCTAGGCAATGCATGGAAGAACCCTGCTGCCTTATCCGGGAACTCCGGTTATCCTCTGCCGAAGCTCAAACGCAAGCATCTGATCGGGAGCGTTGGAGACACTTTGACTCGGTACCTCCGCGACCCTAAAGGATATGCCGTAATCGAAATTAAGAGACTGACTGGCTGTTCCACATAGGATAGTTTGTCGAGAGAAGTTACAGCTCTTTTCGGTGGACTCTACTGGTGATACAGGGCCAATTGAGCGATGCTTCTTTAGCTCGGACGGCAGATTTTGTCCCTTATTGCAGTCCATCGATCAGAATTTGCCATCACCTGTGGCATTCAGTGCTGCCAAATGACACAAAACATCGATGAACATATAGTAAATGCTATAAAATTTGGTAATTCAAAAGAATTTATTTCGAAATGTGAGTATAATTGGAATTTTCTTTTAAATTTAAGACAAAGTAAACAGATTTTGTAGGAAAGTACTGGATCATTCACAGATCTGAATAATTCGTAATTAACCCTGTGCTTATAATACTAACGCATTTGGTCGAAGTAATTTTGAAAAAAAAATGCTTGTTACCGTGTGCGCCCATATACTATTTCTACCATTTAGTGTTCTGTTAATGAAGGACTATTGATTTATGCAGTTACACTTTGCGACAACATATGACAGTGCTTCAGGAGGTGCAGAGCTGGATTAGACCTCAGATAGTGAATGTTGACCGTTTCAGTTACACATTATTGATCTCCCGCGTTGCTGAACAGCTTTGAGGCGTACATTTCGATATTTTAAACGCATTGTTTTAAATTTTATTTTGCTAAGTTTATTGTAAGTGTCTTTTTTGTGAAGTAATTTTGCGTTTATTCTCAAACTCCTCTGATACGTAGAGCAATCGAATCTTTGTGCGTCGCTGAAAATGGTCTGTATTGCGGAACCAGACAAGTGATTGGCATCGTAAGTCATCTAGTTTCAAGATACGACATTGCCGCCTTCCTAGGCCCTGAAATATCGTGCTAAAATTTAGATTTTTTCGTAATTTTCGACGAATTTATTTTCGCTGTATAACAGGCTTGATCCCGTACTTGAAATGAACTAGGAACGAAACTCTCGAGAATTATAAACATCACAAACCGCCATATGGATGGGACCTGCCTTATGCCAAGTGGTAAAACTTAACCGGGCCGGAAACTGCAGCAGAGTCCTGATCCCAACCCGCATGCAGGATTATGTGTATATGCTCATATTTCAAGCAAATTTTGATATTTAAATTAAAATATTTCTATGCGCATGATAGCATATACATATTGCATATTTAGGGCGGTTGGCGTCGAAGAAAGTTCTCTCATCGTTGCAATAAGCGCGCCGCATAGAAAAGACAGTTTCGAGTCCTTGACTTACACCGTTAACTGCATAAAGCACCATGCTCCCGTGTGGAAGATGGTAAGACGATGATTCGCCAATATTTGAGCTTCCGGATTATTGCTTTTGTTCAACGATCGAATTATGAACGTTCTTAATTGCTTGTCGTATTGCACGAGGTTTGTTACACACAACGTAACCGTAAACGCCCGTGATGTTTAGTGTTAGGTGAGTTAAGTTAAGTTCTTGATACTGTCAGTTGCAGTGATATTTATGTCGCTTCTCTGTGTTTACACGGCGTAATCGCACGGTCTCCTTGCTTTCAGGAATCTAGGTACCGTTCGAGTAAAACGTGGTTTCTAGATGATGCCACGACTATGCTGCGTAGATCCAGAGAAGGAGCGTGTTATACTGTTCTGACCTATAGTATCGAAAGCAACAAGTCGTCGAAGTTGGAAAACACTGTTCATCGACGAGGCGGAACCACCTGGCATTTTACAAGGTCCGATGCTATCGCTCCTGCACTTTAACTTTAACGTGAGCGTCGGTTCTTATTTCCTCCATCCTTAAGGAGCCGTACTTGTGCAGACTGCAACATGCAGTGGAAGGCACTGAGCTATGGGGATCAGGAACAACGGTTTAAGATTTAACCGTCGGAAAAGCACCCAACTAATCTGCCGGACGAAGAACATCAGTTTTCATCTAATCTACTCTCCCTCATCGATCATCGTCTCAGCTTAGAACTGTAGTTAATCCTGACTTGTGACACCACAAAATACCTTGGGATCATGCTAAACAGTAGATTGTACTGGTCTGACCACTTAATCTCAGTGTTAACCAAATTTCATAAGTCATCGTACTACCTATTGAGGCTAATCAGACTGCCTGTATCCCCACCAAACGAAAGATTACGCCTCATCGTTTTCGGATTCATTGTTCCCCTTATCATTTACTCCAGACCAGTGATATTTTCAGGCTTAATGAATAAGGACTTCATGTTGCTGTATCGTACTGTGATGTTAATAATTGAGATTAGCAGAATCTCTGTAGAAGGAGTTGCTGGCCGCATTGTGCGGGAATAACTATTCCATCTGCCTGTCGCCTGGGTCATATCATGCTGGGTGATGACAGTCACTCGTTGCACCCGACGTTTTAGCGCGCATCGACCCTACATCGAGGCACCCGCAACCAATTCAACTTTTTCCCACCTTGGGCAGATCTTTTCCGGCGATTCATTCTACTTTTCCTGAAAAAGATTCTGAGACAGCCAGAAGTGCAAGAGCAGTTACTTGTACATAACATTCTGACTTGTCACTATCCCTCGGTGTATATAAA